TGAGACCCTGTCTCAAAAAGACAAAATAAATAAATAACAGTTTGTAGTGATAGTGGGAGATACACTTGTAAGATAAAATTTGTTCACCTTATGATGCTTTTGGGGAAAAATATTACTGTTCTATGATGTCCAGTAATCTGGGAACTCTGTGGACTGCCACAGCACATTTCTGTACAGCAGTAGTACCCTTTGTGTAAAATAAACATGACCTCTTTGTCTGTATCTGCAGAGAATTTTCCAATGTATTTTACATCACAGGCTTTTTCTTGATTTTTGCTGGAGTTCAACCTTGCAGTTTAGTTGGTGTATCACAGTCATCTTTTTCTTCCCCAGTAGCTCTAGTTTTTGTTACTAAATTCTTTGTTACTAAAGTATCTTTTCATCCTTAAGATATTTGCTAATTTTTTCATATATATGAGAATATACAAATGGCGGTTTTCATTACTACTTGTTGCTTATAATAGCAGATGGTAAGTAATAGAATCACAACATTTCTTCCAACTTATAGTAAGAATGTTGATTTTCTAGGTAATATTCAGTCAGAATGCAGTCAATAAGCAGTTAGATGTCCTTAGAAGTCTCCCTTCAAGTATATGACTTGTCAGTAATATTTATTCCCTAAGGGGAAATAAATTGGGAGAAGAGTCACTGGATAGCAGTTTTTTTCTACTTACAACTGTACCCCTTTGGACACTGTTGTTTAAAGCAAGTACTGGCTTATATAAGTTGAGTCTGTACTGTGGTATCATCCCGTTTTTCTGGACTCCACATTATTGGACATTAAATCAAAATTTCTTATTTGTTATGACCTGAAAAACTGAGGAAGACATACATTAGGATACAGTTTTTAAAAATACAGTTGTGGTACATACTGTAAAGAAATAGAGTACTATGAGAGATATCACACAGGATGACCTAACCTGATTTTAGGGGCTAGGGAAAGTTTCTTGAAGAAGTGTGAAAGGTGAATATGAGTTTGGCCAAAGACATCTGGGAGGATCTTGTGGAAAGTGTGAGAAACCTGATGGTGTGGGCTTGAGATATGAGGCAGTAAAGAGGGAATGGTGTTTCTTAATGCATATGGATTACATTCCATTACATTTCTGCATTTCTGTCCTCCTCTTGTCCCTCCCCCTGTTTTTGGAGATAGGATCTCACTATGTGTAGTGCAGGCTGAATTGATATTCATATTCACATTCTTTCTTTATCTCACTGAGGACTGAACCAAGGGCCTTTGCATTGAGCTACTTCCTTAGCTCATTTTTAAAATTTTAATTTTTTTTTTTTTTTTTTTTTTG